CACCCTTGCACTCTGCCTTCAGCTTTCACCATCAACAGCATCCAGATGGAGATCCTGCCCGCCGAGAGGGTGCCGAACGGGCACAACCTGACCCTGCAGTGCCTGGTGGACATCAGCACCACCTCGGCCGTCAGGCCTCAGCACCAGGTGCTCTTCTACAAGGACGACGCTCTGGTGTACAACGTGTCCTCCCGGGAGCACACGGAGAGCTTCTTCATCCCTCAGGCGCGGGTCTTCCACTCGGGGATGTACAAATGCACCGTGATCCTGAACAACAAGGAGAAAACCACTCAGGAGTACCAGGTGGTGGTGCAGGGTGAGTCAGGGGTGGGAGCGGGCGAGCCACGCTGGGCTACCCCGTCCCTCCCCGGACGCGTGGGCGGGTCTCGCTTCCTTCCTTGGGGGCGCTGTCGGGTCCTGGGAGCACCCTCGCCGTCCTCCTTATGTCCCAGACTGCACCGCTCCGGTTTCTCCTTCAGCGCGCTCCACACACGTGCACACCCACGCGCACGCACACGGACAAAATGTAGGAGTTGTTGGGATCGGTCATTGTTGGCACCTCCACGGCCGGCCCTGACTGGGACCTGACAAGCGGGACCTGGGGCATCCGTGAGGTCACCGCCAGAATCAGCGGTGACAGGGCCACCTGAACCCGCCGAGTGACCCCGCCGCAGGAGCCCAACAGTAGTAGTATTAAATACCGACCTTTTGAAAACCTTTTTGAGACAGAGCTTCTCTGTGTAGCCCTGACTTTTAGACCCCAGGCTGGCCTCGAACTCGCCAGAGGTCCTCCCGCCTCTGCCTCCAGAGAGCTGGGCTCACAGGCGTGCGCCCCGCCCCCGGCTCCCGAGGAGCCCACCTTAACTGCGCTCTCTTACTCTCTCCAAAGGCGTCCCCAACCCCGTGGTGACCCTGGACAAAAAGGAGGTGACCGAAGGCGGAGCCGTGACAGTCAATTGTTCTGTGCAAGAGGAAAAGCCGCCGATCTATTTCAGCATTGAAAAGGTGGAACTGGGTACGAAGCTTGTCAAGCAGAAGAGAGAGAAGAACTCGCATCAGAACTTCGTGCTCATGGAGTTTCCCATCGAGGAGCAAGACCACGTGATAGTGTTCCGCTGCCAGGCTAGGATCCTGTCCGGGATGCAGCTGCAGACCTCGGAGTCCACCAGGAGCGAATTCGTCACCGTGCAGGGTCAGAACCCGCCCCTCCCTACCGCCCTCTGTGGTGACGGGTTGCAGGGAGCAAAGAGGAGCTCAGAACCAGAGAACCGGTGCCTCCTTCTGGGGTGGCTACCCTCAGAATTAAAAGCTGGGTAGCACAGATGGTAATCCCAGCCCTGGTAAGATACGGTCAGGAGGGTTGGGAGTTCGAAGGAACCCTCAGCCGTGAGACTCTTTATTCCAAAAGCCCAAATAAATTGGTAACATTAACAAAAAGAAACGGGCAGGAGAAAGAGGAACAACGCGGGCCTGTGATTTCACCCGCTCAGGGGGCTGAAGCAGGAGGATTGAAAGTCCAAGGCTGGCCTCAGCTATACAAGTTCAAGGCCAGCCTGGGCCATTTAGTGAGGCCTTCTCTCAAACTAAAAATGAAAGAGAGGCCTAGGTGGTAAAACGAAAAATAAAAACAGAAGAGAGGCCTTTGTGCAGCTAAGTGATAGTGGTAGGATGTTTGATGTTTTAAAGAGCCTAGATCCACTGGGGCAGAGCCACAAAGAAGAGGAAGAAAAGAGCTAGGGAGGTGGCTCCGAGAGTGAAGTGTGTCTGATGCCCAAAACCCACGTAAAGCTGGAGATGGTGGTGCAGGCTTGTTATCCCAGCCCTAGGGAGCAGGAGACAGACAGCTTCCTGGTACTCACTGGATAGTGAGCCTCAGCCCAGTTCTTGAACCCCTATCTCCAAAACAAAACAAACAAAAAGAGCAAGGCATATGGAGCTGGAGATGGCTCAGTGGTTAAGCACACTGCCCCCTCTTCCAGAGGGCCTGGGTTGGATTCCCAGCACCCCATGATGGCTCACAACCATCTATCTGTAACAGCAATGCCCTCTCCTCAGCTGCATAGGCAGCAAGCATGCATGAAGTTTGCTTGTTGTTTTTTTCTAGAGACAGGGTTTTTCTGGGTGGAACTCGCTTTGTAGACCAGGGCCGCCCTGCACTCACAGATATATACCTGCCCCTGCCTCTGGGAGCCCCGGGACTAAAGCTGTAGGACACCACGCCTTGCTCCTTTTTAAGAAGATATGAAACAAAAGATAGATCAGTGTCTGAGAAATGCTCTCTGACCTCCCTGGAATGCCCCCCCCCCCCGTGCCCACACAGACTTCCTCCCACCCAACGGTAGATAGAGTAGGAAGTGCCCAGGTTTGAACTTTGAGTCCAACTGGCTTGTCCGCTGTCTTTCTCGCAGAGTCCTTCTCTACTCCCAAGTTCGAAATCCAGCCTTCCAGAATGATCATAGAAGGAGACCAGCTCCGCATCAAGTGCACGGTTCAAGTGACACACTTGGTCCAGGAATTTCCAGAAATCATAATCCAGAAGGACAAGGCAATCGTGGCCACCTCCAAGCAGGGCAGCGAGGCCCAGGCTGTCTACTCGGTCATGGCCATGGTGGAGCACAGTGGCTACTATACCTGCAAAGTGGAGTCTAACCGTATCTCCAAGGCCAGCAGCATCCTGGTCAACATAACAGGTAGGGAGGCTGACAGAGAAGGCCAGCAAGCGGCGGCCCAAGAGGCAACTGTGGCCGGGCCTGGTTCCACATGTCCGTAATGGCAACGTTTGTTTGGGAGGCTGAGGCAGGAGCATCATGAGTTCAAGGCTAGCCCAGGCTTATCTAGTGAGATCCTGGACTGAATCCAGGTTGGCCAGTGGGGGGTGATGCCTCTTCTGCTCCAGGTTGTCTTGGGTATTTTCAGGCTGGGTCCTAGGGGCTTGGGGGGAAAGAGCCAGTGTAGAGCAGTCGACTCTGGTGGCCGAGTGCCCGGGTGCTGGCGCTGACCCAACCCTGCAGCGCGCTACTTCTGTGCCCTTGGCTGGCCTCTCGAACCTGCCCCAGCTGTGTGAGATGAGATGGGGACGTCACGGTGTTCACCTATAGGACTGTCACAGTGTCGCAGTGAGACGGCCATGGCCGGCCTTCCGGTGAGATTGGCTCATGTCTTGGCAGGTGCACATCTCTCTGTGCCAGACTATTTTATTTTATGTGTAAGGATGTTCTACCTGCGCACAGGTCTGTATGCCACTTGTATGTGTGGTACCCAGGAAGGGCAGAATAGAGGGTGCAGGCTAGCCCAGAACTGGACTTAACAGTTGTGAGTCACCATGCAGGTGCTGGGAATCGAACCTGGGTCCTCTGCAAGAGTGGCCAGTGCCCTTAAATGCTGAGCTCAAACCCTTTTTCTAAAAGGTTTTCTTTGTTTGTTTTTTCAAGAAAGTGTTTCTCTGTGCTGTCCTGGAACTCCCTTTGAAGACCAGTCTGGCTTCAAAGTAGCAGAGATCTGCCTTTCCTCTGTCTCTCGAGTGCTGGGATTAAAGGCATGCACCACCATGCCCAGCCTCTAAAAGATTTTTTTTTTTTTCTGACACAAAGAAATTTATTTAAGGACGGAGTGGAAAAGGGATAGAGAGAGACAGTGGGAGAGCACAGGGGAAGGGGTAAAAGGGGAGGGGCGAGGTGCCCCCGGAAAGTCATAGAGGGAGCCCTTTAAAAGATGTTTAACAGACATGGCAGCTCACGCCTTTAATCCCAGCACTTGGGAGACAGAGGCAGGCAGATCTCTGTGAGTTTGAGGCCAGCCTGGTCTACATAGTGAGCTCCAGGGCAGCGAGAGCTACATAGTGAGACCCCGTCTCAAAAACAAAAGCAAAAAACCAAAAGGATTTTGAAAAAAAGAATTTATGTATGTGTATGTGTTTATGTGTACCATGTGTGTGCAGGGTGTGTGTGTGTGTGTGTGTGTGTGTGTGTGTGTGTGTGTGTGTGTGT